CACAGGACCAGGAGACTTCAAGGAGCCTTTTCTTTCTGAAAGCCTTCACTTCTTCAGGGAGAAAGCATGACTCCGCCCCACCAGCTTTCTCAGCCTTGTGCATCTCTAGTTTGAATTTTTTATGTATCATTGTTTTCCAGGATACAAATGAAAGGTTACTCTTTTATAGGAAGACGTAAGTAACCGGAGTAAGGTGACGTCAGAGTATACAAGTGTCCTGCGAATAGGAGTTGAGTCTGCTGTTCTTTTCTGTGGAGTTGGTTTTGTTTTTGCTGAAGTTGTGATTGCTAGTTATTAGTTATTAAGGAGATCAAATCAGTATACAGGAAGTGAATGACAGAATCTTTTTTTTTTTAGGAAGATTAGCCCTGAGCTAACTAAGGGCAATCCTCCTCTTTTGGCTGAGGAAGACTGGCCCTGAGCCAACATCCATGCCCATCTTCCTCTACTTTATATGTGGGACGCCTACCACAGCACGGTGTGCCAAGCGGTGCCATGTCCACACCCAGGATCCGAACCGGCGAACCCCGGGCCGCCGAGAAGCAGAATGTGTGAACTTAACTGCTGCCCCGCTGGGCTGGCCCCAGAATCTTTTTAAGTATAAAAGTAGTGTGTAACTTTGTACATGTGAGGTGTCCAGACTTCACCAGCTTTTCCAGATTTGCTGTTGAGAAACTGGAATAACAAAGTATTACTTGCTAATTAAAGTTATTAATAACTTACTTATTGTACATCAAGGACATGAAGGACAGGGAGGACAAAAACATCAAAAGGTAACCCAAGCCCTTGAAACACCTGTTAGACTGTAGAGTTTTATTGACTTAAAAATAATTTTAGAATAATACTAATAAAAAAGCCTTCTTGGGGCCTGCCTGATGGCACAGTGGCTAAGTTCGCACACTCTGCTTCAGCCGCCCAGGGTTCACAGGTTCGGATCCCAGGCACAGACCTAGCACCACTTGTGAAGGCACGCTGTGGTGGAGAGGAAGATTAGCACAGATGTTAGCTCAGGGCCAATCTTCCTCACACGTGAAAAAGCATTCTTTTTAAGTCACTCTGCCTTAAGAACCCAGACATTCCATTTATTTTAATGATACATCTTTTCTTTAAAAGTTTATTTTTTCATCTCCAAACAGTCTTAACTGCTTGATATTTTATCGCTATTAGCAAAGGATGAGTCTTTTCTGCTATTTTGATTTGGTTTTGTTTTCATCAGCTCTCTGTGTGCAGCGCTGGAAGGGATAATGTATAATTCTGCACACTGGCCAAGAGGAGCAGGGCACCCATCCTTCCATGTGCCCCTTGGGGGCTGTGTGCCCATGAGCATGGCCTGTGGGGCTGCGGCCCTGGGGCCGCATGGAATATGCTCACTGCTTCTCCTTCCCAGGGTTTCGTTCTCCCTGGAGTTGATCATCTCTTTTTGTTTGTTTGCTTTTTGCTTCGGGACAAGTACTTAGAGAACGCCTTCCCCCTCAAGTTTTCCCTGGGTGTCTAACACTCCCCTCGTTGAGTTCAGATCCGTCCGGCGTCCCATCCCTTTCATCTTTGGAGCTGTGGCTCTCCTCCAACCTGGACTTGGTGGTCTTCAGCCCAGTACCCAGGTCTCACCGTGGGGTCCCCTTTCATCCTCACCTGGGGGTTTCCTCCTCCCTCCTGGCTGTGATCCCCTGTTCTCAAGTGGTGTCATCTTTTGTCTTGGTTTAGTCCTGGTTTTTAGTGATTGCTCTAGTAGCTTCTTAGAAAGGGTACTTGGGAAGGACAATTTTTGAGCCTTTCCATGTCTTGAACTGTCTTTAGCTGTCTCCCCTGACGTGTGACTGAGCCTCCAACCCTAGATTAGGCGTCGTTGTTCCTTAGGGATTTGAAAGCACTGCTGTGCACCGTCTTGCAGTGTTGCTTTTGAGAGGCATGGATCTGTTTTGATTCTGATCCTGTGCTGTTACCGGTTTTATGATCTGTAGAAGTTTGTAGGATATTCTCTTAGTGCCCCAAATGTTTGCACATTCTCAGAGACATGCTTGCGTGTGGGCCTGTTTTCAGCCATCGTGCTGAGACGCAGTTTACCCTTTGAGTCTGAAGAGAAGACTCAGATCCATTAATTTGGGGACCTTTCCTTGAATCATCCTTTTGATTTTCTCTGCTCTGTTTTTCTCTGTTTTCTTGTTTTGGAACTCTGCTGTCTGCATGTTGGACCTCAAGACTGGTCCTTTGTTTTATTTTCTTCGTCTGTATTCTTTCCCTTTGGTTTTTTTGATCTACTTTATGGAAGATTACCTCATCTTCCATCTCTTCAGTTGGGTTTTTCCCTTCTGCTGTCCTATTTTTAATTTCAAAGAACTCTTGTTCACTGACAATTCTTTTTTCGTAGCATCCTCTTCTTGGCCCTGCTTTCCTCTGTTAGTTCACTGGAATATTAGTGATAGTTTTTCAGTTGGTAAAACAGTTTTCTTCTTCATGCATGGTCTGTGCTTTGTTCTCTGACTCCTTTGTCTTCAGCACTCCTCAGAGGTCCAGTGAGAGATCTGGCAGCCCTGGCTGCCTGCTCCCTGGGGGCTGTGGCAGGAGCAGTGAGCAGGGGCCTCTGGCTGGGCTGATCCTGTGCAGAGTGAAGAAAAGCCTGCTCCACATGCTCCAGAGGATGATGCTGTGTGGACAGACCAAGTGTTGAGAACTGAGTTGAAAAGCGAGTCAGAGGGATTAGACTCTGAGTGTGAAGAAATCCTAAGTATATATCTGTTTTGTTATGTTTTGCTTTTCGTGTTTGCTTAAGATATGTTAAAATCTGTCTCCATAAGGCTAAGTAGCTCTTGAGTAAGTATAAGTGATAGGAAATACTCTGTGTAGTTTGATTGGCAACGTTTTTTCTTGGTGGTATGTAAAATAACAGGATAGCTTACCAAATTGATGCTGTCTTAGATTTGACAGGATCCGTGTCTCTCTAGCATGTGGCATGATGTGGGCTGTTCTCTGGTGTCCACGCCCCTCCTGGGGCCTGTCCCCTCCTCTGGTGCAGGGGCCAGGTGGGCAGGCAAGACGGAGCGTGAGCGTGAGACAGACCCACGTCACGTGCAGAGCCTGGGGCGGCTGTGTGGCCTGTCAGCCAGCCTTCTGTCGGCGCAGGTTGAACTGATGTCTCCCTCTGGAAGTGAGAGAGAATTGTATTGGGAGCAGACGGCCTGGAGGAGTGGCGCCTGTTTACAGGATGTGCTCGCTGGGGAAGCAGACTGTCCCCTTCAGCATAAGGTGGTCTGACTATGCTGCACCACCGCCTGGGCCTTGGGTTTCATCTCAGTCGGGTTAGGATGCATGCACGCGACGTGCATGTGGAAGCACAGAGAGAAAGGATTCAGACGAGAGGCAGGTTTTTATCATGGTGTAGGAATTGGAAAACAGAAATTTCCCGTGCATGTTTACTTTGAAAGATGCAAGATGTCAACAGTGCTTTGGGTCAAGCATGCAATGACTGGGAAGTTTCCACCTTGAATCCTAGGTGTTACTCCTGTTTTATGTGGGTAGCAGCTTGCTCCTCCCGAAACTTCTTTTCAGCGTTAAAAGATTTGATTACTTCAAACAGAAAGACAGTTTTGGTATTTTCATTTTGTGTTGGTAGATTTTGGATGGCCAGGCACGTTCATTCAGAGAGTGCCAATGCTTGCCTTGTCAGTGCTTTCTGGTAGGCGGTGGGAATTCAGAAAGCAGAGGGGTCCTTTTCCTCGTAAGCTTGTATTTATGGGTCTATGGTGAAACCAACACCTCACTAATTGTTATGTGCTGTGACGACTCCTGAAACAGGAAGGGACTTGTGTGAATTTCGACAGAGACGGCCAGCCCTTCCAGGCCCAGTGGGCCATTTCCCAGAAGATAGGGTGGGTGGGGAGCAGGAGTTTTGATATTTCCAAGCTCTATTTGCTCAAAATCGGTATAAATGCAATGCTTTCTTTTTGGTAATAAAATACGTTGGGTCGTTTTATTCTCTGACTGGAAACCCTCCAGCCATGTCTTCTGGGTTTTAGGGGGAGTGCCTGTTTGGTGATTTAACCCTTCTTGCTCTGGCCCCTGCCTCCCCCTCCTCTCAAACTGTCCCCTCTGCCCGTGTCCCTCCTTTAGCGGACCGCTCACCCGCCTTCCCGATTCTGCTCTGGCTTGTCTCAGTGCAGAAGAGCCGTCTGATATGCATGAGCGTGTCCCTTCCTCCCCTCATGTTCGCCCGGCACCTTAGACAGCAAACGTTGTGAGGAAGAACGGCGCCCCCAGAGAGCAGACGGTCCGTCCCAGGAGACTGACAGGGTGGAAGGAATGAAATAAAACTATCCACTTCCGTGCGTGCAGGCAGGGAAGAACAGGTGTGTGGTCAGGTCTTGGCCTGCAGGCCTCATAGAACTTCTCCAGAAGCCCTTTCCGGTGTTGTCCCCGGCTTCTTCCTGCTTGCTCCCATAAAGACTTTCTCTGCTGTTCTGGTGCTGACGGCCCTGGCCCTGTGGCAGGGGGCTCCTCCTGTGCCACCCCCAGTTCTGTCAGCTTCCTGAGGCCAGGGACCTTGTCTCATTTTGACAGTGTATTCACAGCACCCAGCACATAAGGAGCACTTCCTGTTTGGGTGAAGGGGCTGACTTCTCGTAACTTCTAGATTCTGCCTCCACAGTCACGTGGATGACCCCCGAGGAGGAGGTCCACTCGAGGAGGGTGTACACTGCCAGACACAAGCAGTCATAATTGTCAGTGGCTTTCTAGAACTTTGAGGAGCAAGCCTTAGACTCCATGCTGGAGTAATTTAGTGATATTGGAATAATTGCACAAATCAGAAAGTTAAGCTTTAATAGACTTGAGTTATGTGAATGTTCTTTCTCTAACAGGTCAAGGGATGTGTAAATGCTCCATTCACAAGGTGCACAGTACACTAGGGCTCGTTGTTCCAGCGAAGAACACCTGGACAAGTGTGTTGTGAATTAAGTATGTGGTGGTGTCTGTTTTTAAGGTTTGTTTGTTTATTTGTTTTTAAGGTCTTGTGGTCTGATTCTTCAATAACATCAGTAACCAAATCTTCCTCTGAAGTGACTGAATTTATTTCAAAGGTAAGGTGATTAAGGGCTCTTACAAAAATCAAAAGGACCTCCTTCCCCAGTGGTTGGTGACACTGCAGAGTGACTTCAGTGGCTCGCTACCTTCAGTTGGCAGAGTGAGCGCGGTGCCAGGAACTCGTGCCTTTCTGCAGCGAGCCCCAAGGGCTGCTCCTCGCGGGGCGTGTGGCCACAAACACACGGTCCTCCACGCCACGGTCTGTGCTGCTTCCGGTTGTTGAGAAGGAGATGAGGCAGAAAGATCCAGCTGCCCAGATGGCTGAGGGCATTTGGTTTGGTTTGGTTCCAGAGGCTGAGGGAGAGGGGCACACAGGAGGCGCAGTGGGCGGAAACTTCACCAGTTCCACCTTTATCTGTTTTACGTATTAGATTTTCTGGTTCATTCTTAAATTGATTCAACAAATATCATTTGAACAAAAGGTTGCACTAAGTAAATACCTCTTTACCTACATATACACCTGTCCATCCATACATATGTACATGCCAGCATGTTTAATCCATGCTTAAGTCCACTGGCCTGGGCCACGGCAGTGACCCACTGTCCAAGCAAAGCGCTGCCTCCTGATCCTCCCCTCTGTTTATGGAACAGCATGTCTGAAGTGTCTCCCTTTTTCATTATAAAATCGAGGACGTGATCCTGTAGGAAGAACTCCGGGTGACGGTCCTGTTCCGAGGCTTGGGCAGGAGTTTGATTGTGTCTGTCCTTGGCCCCTCAGGCGTTGAAGAGCACCACTGTGCCATGCTGTGTGGGATGCACAGCATCCCCTGCAACACTCACAGTCAATTCCCTCTCCTTTGTGCCTGGCCTCGCGTTTTGTAAGGAAGCAGTTTCTCTGGACTCCACTGTTGCTGGCGGGAACTCTGACCTTGTGTTGGTCTTTTCTCTGCGTGTTTACAGTGGCTGATACTAACCTGGCTTTGGGTTCTCTGACCTTCCTAGATATCTGGTTTGCTGTCTTTCATTAATTTTGGAAAATTCTTGTCCATTTTCTCTTCAAATACTTCTTCTGCCCCAACTGACTCTCTCTCCTCCTGGGGCGTCAGGTATGTGTCCTTGGACCTGTGGCATTGTCCACAGCTCTTGGATGCTCATTTTGTTTTCTTGCTCCTTCACTCTGCGTTTCAGTTTGGATAATTTCTGTTTTCACGTTTCCTGATGTTTCTCCTCAGCTCTGCTTGGGCTGCTGATGAGCCTGTTGAATTTGCTGAATTCTTCTTCTCTGGTACCATGGTTTTTTGTTTTTCTTAGCTTTTCCATTTAACATGTCTTTTAAAAAAATTTCCATCTCTCTTCTGGAATTTCCCATTTGTTTATGCATGTTGTCCCCCCCCCCCCCTTTTTTTAACCAAGTCCTTTAGTATGTTAGTCTGGGTTATTTTAAAGTCCTTTTCTGAGAGTTCCAACATCTGAGTTATTTCTGAGTCTGGTTCTGTTGATTATCTTCACAACAGTTTTTTATTCCCTCTACTTTTTTTGTATGTCTTGCAATTTTGATTGAATATTAGACATCATGTTTAGGAAATAGAGAGACTGAGGGAACAGGATGTGTGCCTGGAACTGGGCATGCTGCTCCTCCTGTCGGACCACAAGGGGGTCCTTGAGTTGATGTGGTCAGGAGTTGCGCAGGGTTTGGGTTTGCTGTTGCCGGGGTTACCTTTGCACAGGCTTCAGATGCCTCCCGTGGAGGGCTGCTGGGAGCTAGAGCCTCGAGTGGGGCCTGGAGTGTCAGAAGGTTCTTCTCAGTGGTCTTGCTTCACTCGCAGCTTTCAGCAGTCCTTGTGTGCCTCTGGCATGGAGGGGTCTCCCTACTCTGTTGACCCCTCACCCCCCGGGGTAGACTGCTGTTACTTGTTGCCTGTGGATAGACTTGTAGTGGGGATGGGGGGGGGGTCCTCTGCCCTCCTGGTCCAGCCTCAGTCTCAGGCACAGGGCCTTTGGGAGGGGCTTTCTCAGCATCCCTGCCCCTCCCTTCCCCAGCAGCAGGATCCTCAGCCCAGAATGGCTTCTTGCCCCTTCTCCAGGGCCAGAGGGGTTTTGCTTTTGCCTCCCCTAGAAGCAGGGCAGCTTTGTCTGTGGCCTGCTACCAGGAGGACTTCCTACCCCGCCCAGAGGCTGGAAAGTATTGCTTCTGCCTCATCCCAGACACTTGCAGTCTGTGCTTGGGCTCTGGGAGCAGGAGCAATCTTGTCCCTTTCCCAGCAGCTTAAAGGGTTTGTTGCCTTGGATTGAGAGAAGGCTCCAGGGAAAGGCACAGGGTGTCCTGCCTGCCCCTAAGGGCAGTGACCCACATGTGTGCCGCCTGTGGAGGCTCTCTCCAGTCTCCTGCCTGTGGAAGAGAGCTGGAGAATGAGGCACACTCCCTTTGAGTCTGGGGCTCCTGGGTGACTGATGTCTGGCCCACACCCAGCGTGTGGGGTGTTGTCCGTCTTAGCCCATCTCTTCTACCTGCTTGTATGGCGGCCACCTGTTCCTCGCACTCTGCCACAGCTGAGACAGTTCATGTGTCCTGTCTCTCCTCAGAGGGGCAGGTCCCTCTTGAAATTCAGTTCATATGGTGGCCTTGCAACGCAGCTCTCTGCTGGACTCAAGAAAAGGTACAATTGTGTGGATTATCAAGCCTTTTCTTGATGTTACGGTGGGGGCGCGATGTTCTTTTGTGACTTTCTACATCCTGAGTGGATGCAGAACCCCACGTAGCTAAGAGGACGGTATATTGTATCAGACCAGCAGATGTCACCATCTAGTGCCTGCCTAGCATTTTCTTAAATGGTGAATGGTTATGTAGAGTGAATTTGACATGCTCCCGGTGCCTCTTCTTCTCTTTTAGTTATCTCAGCTGTACCCAGAAGAAAATTTGGAGAAATTCATTCCTTGCTTAGCTGGCCCAGATTCGTTTTACGTAGAGCGAAACCACATGGATCTGGAAGCGGACCTGAGGTAATGTTCTTTACCCCGCAAGGGCCTGGGGGCAGCCCCACTGGTGGCCCTGCAGTGACTGGTGGCCGTCTGCAGTGTGGGCAGGGCCGGGCGGGGCCGGACGTGAGCTGCCTGGTCATCCAAGGAGCTCTTGAGTTCCCACGCTGCTCTGGATGGTTCGGGCCTCTACTTTGCTTCTAGGGCTTCTCCTCCTGACGAAGGATCTGGTGAATCTTAATAACCTAGGTTTGATTTTGAGAATCTGAGTAAAGGAATTTCAAAGCATATGCCACCGTTTTTGGCAGTCTTATGAAATAAAATCTGATTACTGTTTCTGTCATGTAGTTGGAAGCTGAGCCTGTTCCAGGATGAAACTAGGGCCTAAGGGCAAGTCTCCTCCGCCACTGTCTCTGCGCCCTTGGCCATGTCCTGTCACACTGGTCTGTAGGGTGCAGGAGGCAGGCCTGCTGCCTGGGCTCTGGGACTGTGAGCGGACGGCCGTCTTGGCACCTGAGACCTCGTTGCAGCACAGTGGCTGCCAGTCCTGGGTGATTGTGAGGGTGCTGACTGCATTCATATTGCAGCTCACTGCCTGTATGATGGGCCCGGAAAGTCTTGATTCATGTGGTGTCAACAAGGGGAAGGGACATGGGGACACTGGATCATAACAAGAATTAGATGGAATCAGAGCAGAAAGAACACAGCTCAAGGTCCTTCTGTTTACTTTTTTCTCTAATATCTATTTCTCTTAATTGAAAATTAAAATTTCTCTACCAATTAGTGTTTGGTAATACCATTTTGATGCTGATAAAACCACTTTGTTTAATTTTTAGGTATTTGGCTTCATTACCTTCTCACGTATTAAAAAATGACCATGTTAAGAAATTTTTCAGCACTTCATCTCCCACCCAACAGCTTCAAAGTCCAAGTGAGTTTGTAAAATGTGATTAAGTAAGAATCAAAACATTTTTTTTGTCTGTAAATTTTATGATATTTATTGTAACTTACAGGTCCTGGCAACCCTGCCCTTTCTAAAGTTGGTACCGTCATGGGAGTGTCTGGAAGGTGAGACGTTACCCTGTGAGCAGCGCATTTCAAATCGGCATGTACACAGGCTCCTCTTGATTGTGTAAATAATTGTTTCTAGAGATAAGTCATTCTCGATCTCAGTCTGGAGAGGAATTAGAGATAATCCAATTTATGGTGTCTCCAAAAAAGAAAAGTGGTTCTCTGAGCCACTGGAATTGAAATACCCAATTAAATCTCCTTATTGCAAATGCCAGTTTCTGGGCCTCGCACATTCCAGGGCACTGGAATTTCTGAGAATCTTTCTTTTTACAAGCTCCCACCACAAGGGGCCAGAGTTGCTGCTCTTGAGGTCCTCTGTCACCGTGAGGACCTGCAGAGATTGTATGGTGGTGCTCAGGTGACAAACAGGCCACCTGTCTGGACTGACAGCAGACATGAAAAGGGCTGACCTCACAGAGTGTACACACCCACACAGGTCAGATGATGAGGTCTTCGAAAGTGTGGGCTTTCTTCTGCACCCTCTGGTACGCGTCAGCACGTAGTAGACGTATGTGGTTTTGCAGTTTAGGGAGGAGGGGGCAAGGACAGAAGGTAGAATGCTTTTTTGCTCCTTCCAGCCTTCAAGGATTTACTTTTCAAAAAAGATTAATTTGAATATTACAGATTTGGGAGTCAGTTTTAATTTATGATTAGCAGTATCATCCTGTGATAGAAGTAACAAGGAAAGTAGGCAGCTCAGCCACAGTTCTGGTGGCGATACACACACATGTACACACACATATGTGTACACACATATATATGTGCACACAGATAGATACGCACACTCTCCAGCACCAAGAGATCCAGGCACATCCGTGCACACGTCCACATTAACTTCGGGGGGGGCAGTGGCAGAAGAGGCTCTGATCGGCAGTGGGCGTGGCCTTGGCCGCAGTGCAGGGGTAGAGGCCAGCCCTGGCAGAGCTGCAGCAGTGGTCTTCTGCAGAGGCTGTGGTCTTTTGAAAACCCCGTCTGCTGTCTGTCCCCACAGGCCTGTGTGCGGAGTGGCTGGCATCCCGTCCTCTCAGAGCAGCGCCCAGCATCACATGCAGCACGCGGCCAGCGCGGCCGCCTTGCCCCACTGCTCCCACACTGGGGGCACAGGCTCGGCGCTGGCCTACCGGACCCAGATGGACACCTCGCCTGCCATCTTAATGCCTTCCAGTCTGCAGACCCCTCAGACCCAGGAGCAGAATGGAATTTTAGATTGGCTTAGGAAGCTGCGTTTGCACAAGTACTACCCTGTCTTTAAACAGCTCACCATGGAGAAGGTATGTTGCTTCCTGAGCCGGTGTAAAGAATTGGCTTGTTTTCTGAGGAACCTGTCTCCTAACCTCGCTCCTAGAGGAACGGAGCTGGGTTTCTGAACTAGATGTGACGTGGGAGCCCCAGTGCCTGGGATTGAAGGCCTCCTGCGGCATGCCCTGAGCCCTGCACGAATGCTGGAGGCGGGCAGTGGCATTGACGTGGAAGGCTTCCTGCAGCTGCAGGAGAACTGGGACAGGATTGCGTGTAAACAGCTTTTTTAGATAGTGTGGGGTCTCTGCAAATTAAATCCTCTCTGCAGCGTGAAGGACATTATGTCTCCAGCAGCCCTGCACTAGGTAGTGACAGTGACCTCTGGTGCCCAGGCCCCTGTTTCTTAAATGTCCGTCAGTGCAGCCTGTGCGCCTCCTGGCACTCAGTTCAGGAAGGCTGGCTTTACAAGCGGCCTAAATACTTTGGTCCAAGTAGGCGGCTCTCTGACGATCTGGCTTGATGAAAGGTCATATGGCTAAAGGAATAGATGAATTTGATGTCATTCGAGCAGTTCTACCTAGAAATTATTTTTTATAATAGACAGTTTTGATGAGGAGCATTTTTTCATTGTTAAAAAAGTTCTGAAATGTCTTAAGTCTCGTGTCACTGATAAAACTAAATTAGACCTTAGAACTCTGAGCTCCCCCTGCTGGATAAAATGACTTGATGACGTTTATCTGTGTAAAAATTTCATTTATCCGAAAATCTGCAATTGAACCTAGAAATCAAGCTTTTACTACATAATAAAAAACAAATTTTAAGTATATTTGTAATACTCTCAGTTTAGGATTCATAAATCTTAAAAACAACAGATTTGACTAACCTTGGTCATGATCGGTTTGGAAGGTTTTACTCTCCTGTCTGAGGTGAAATGGCTGAGGTCAGCAGTCACGTGTGGACCGTCGTAAGAACCAGGCTGTGGTTTGCCGGCTAATGTGAGGCGGGCTAGGGTGCGGGTAGCCTTTCAGCTCGGACGGCGTCTGCTTTCCTGGATCACTTGCTACCTGACAGAGCTGCTCTTGCCCCTAGAGAGATGGAGCTATTGAGAAAGGAAAGTTGGCAGAGGACTGTCGTGGTGTCTTTGGGAGGAAAAATGGCTTGATGGGAGGGGGCCCGGGGACACTCCCACGCATCGCCTCTCTAGCAGTGGAAACTGGGAGACATTTTCTTGAGTCACCTGCACGAGTGGCATGGACCTTCCAGGTGGCCCGTCTTCAAGCTGTGACTGAGGCACCAGGGCCGAAGGCTCAGGCCCACCCACAGCCTGGGACCCTCAGATGCAAAATGAACGTCTCACATTTTGAACTATGGCCGCGAAATCATTTAGCAAGTAAATGTTTTAGTGTTCTCAAGGCTTTTATTATCTAGTTATCTGTTGACATATCCTAGGGGTGGAATGTTTATTAAATTAAACTCCAGGTTCGTTTTCAGAATTCTAATTAATTCTCGACAACTTTGTAATTTGTTTCTCCTATGGAAGTTTCTGAGCCTTACTGAAGAAGACCTAAATAAATTTGAATCCCTCACCATGGGAGCAAAGAAAAAACTGAAGACTCAACTGGAGCTGGAGAAGTAAGTGTGAAATAGCTGTGAAACGTGTGTCGTTATAGTTTCTAACATGCTGGACACATGCTAGGACTTGGAGTTTCGTTAAATCTCAGTGATTGGGTTACTTCTGGCTGCTTGCCAAACCTTAATTAATGCTTTTAAAATTCTACACAAGTGGCTTTGGTTGCTAGGAAGGGCCCTTTATAGTGCATCTGACAAGTCGGGGGTTCTTTTCCACCCTGGAGGGTATTTTGATGGGAATCGCCCTCGGGTGGAATCCGTGCGCTTAAGCAGGGTTCCGTCAGCCGTTACAAGGCTCTTCAGCAGAAGAACGGAACGCTTACTTGTTCGCCTGCTTTCTTACTGCACAGGGAGAAGTCAGAGAAACGGTGCCTGAACCCCTCAGCCCCAGCCCCGGTCACCAGCAGTGGAGTGGCCCGCGTCCCCCCGACCAGCCACGTGGGGCCCGTGCAGGCTGTGAGAGGCAGCCACGCTGCAGGTGGGTGAGGGCTGGCTCCGTCTTGAGGAGTAGCTCATGGCGGTAATTAGACCGCAGATCGCGCCCTTTGCCATTTACATTCTTCAGTATTGACAGTTACTTCTCCGTATTTTAGCTTTTATTATCTCTCCATAGGAAAATGGCAGGGACATTTGGCTTAGAAGCGGGAGACTGCTGACTCACCTGAAGTAGTTTGGGCAAAAGAATTAGATCTAGAAACTACTTTGGGGAAAGAGTAAGGAGTCCACAAAACAGATGAGCATCTCTCTCTTCCCCAAGATCAGGGCAGAGAGGTCGTGGTCAGGTCGTGGCCCGGCAGGTCCACCTTGACTTCTCCGTCATGCTGACTGCCAGCCCTCCTGCTCTCGGGGCCCTGAAGTCTCCGTGATCTGATTGTTCAGCTCCCATCCTCTCCCTCTCCCTGCCTTCCCCCTCTGCTCAGAGAAAGGCTGAGGACACCTGGAACAGCTCCTCTGTTGTTTTCTTTATACAGCAGAAGTATCATGAGTCACAGGAAACCAGGGAGAGAATAATGCCAGTGTGGCTTTTAAGTGGTTATTTGATTAAAAAGGTCGTCTGCCCCTCGGCCTCGTAAAACGGGGCGCCTCGGTGTTTGGGGGTGATTACTTGTGTAGCACTGCGGTGGTTCGGGAGCGCCTTTCTCCTCTCCTCCGGTGTTTGAGTTAGAGAGGCCTCAGAGCGTCTGGCTGAGCATTGTGGGGGCGTCTGCTACGTCACTAGCTGTGGAACCTTGGGCATTTTAGAGCTGCTTAGAGTCTCTGAGCCCTGACTGAATGTGGAAATAATAGTGCCTGCCTCCTTGGGCTTGATGTAAATAAAGAAACCGGTGCGGTAGATGTGCACGAAGCTAGGTGAGGGGGACGCAGGAGACACTAGCTGGCACGACTCCTGTCGGCACCCTGCGGTGCGTCGGCTTGGGCGCCACCTTCAGACTGTCACCTGTCCCTTCTCTGCAGCGCTGCGGGTGGAAGTGGAGCAGCCCTCTCACCAGCCGGCCCGGGAAGGCAGCTCCTCGGAGTGCTCCAGCTCCTCCCCAAGCCCGATGGGGGTGCAGGCCCGGGAGGAGAGCTCAGACAGCGCTGAGGAGAACGACAGACGTAAGGACGCCCGGCGTGGCGTGCGCTGTGCTGCCGCTGCCCCAGCCTGTGAAGCCATGGTGACCACTGTGTTTCCATCCCTAGGTGTGGAGATCCACTTGGAGGGCTCCGACAAGGAGAAGCCCGTGATGCTCCTCAATCATTTCACTTCAAGTTCCGCCAGACCCACGGCCCAGGTTCTCCCTGTGCAGAACGAGGCAGGCTCCAACCCGGCAGGCCACCACCCCCTGCCTCCGCAGATGATGACCGCAGCCTCGCACATCGCACCCATCCGAATGCTGAATTCTGTGCACAAATCGGAAAGGGGCGGCGCGGACATGAAGCTCCTCTCGTCCTCTATGCACTCGCTGCTGTCTCTGGAAGAAAGGAGTAAAGTCTCCGGACCAAGAAGCGGCATCAAAGTGGACAAGAGCTTTGGCAGCGCCATGATGGACGTGCTACCTGCGGCCGCCGCCCCGCAGCCCATGCAGGTCCTCTCTGGACTTGCCGAGAGCAGCTCTGTGTCACCCACCGTCTCCTTTGGTCCCCGCGCCAAAGTCGTCCACGCATCCGCGCTGGACAGGGTGATGAAGCCGGCCCCACAGCCGGCCCTGGTGGTAGAGACGAGCACGGCAGCTGCGGGGACATCGAGCACCGTCTTCCACGTGGCACGGCCACCCATCAAACTTCTGGTGTCGTCATCTGTCCCTGCGGATTCTGCCATTTCTGGGCAAACTTCCTGTTCTAATAACGTGCAAATAAGCGTGCCCCCTGCAATAATAAACCCCCGGACTGCTCTGTACACAGCCAACACCAAAGCTGCCTTCTCTGCGATGAGCAGTGTGCCCGTGGGCCCCCTGCAGGGCAGCTTCTGTGCAAACAGCAACACTGCCTCCTCCAGTAGCCACCCTTCCACCTCCTTTGCGAACATGGCCACTGTGCCCAGCTGCCCGGCCCCCAGCTCCAGCCCTGCGCTCTCCTCGGTCCCTGAAAGCAGTTTCTACAGCAGCAGCGGCGGCGGCGGCTCCCCTGGCAACATTCCTGCCTCCGCTCAGAACCACCACCACCACCACCACCATCAGCAGCAGCCGGCGCCCCAGCAGCCCGCGCCCGGCCCGCCGCCCGGCTGCGTCGTGTGCACGTCATGCGGCTGCAGCGGGAGCTGCGGCTCGAGCGGCCTGACCGTCAGCTACGCCAACTATTTCCAGCACCCGTTCTCGGGGCCGTCCGTCTTCCCCTTCCCCTTCCTGCCCTTCAGCCCCGTGTGCGGCAGCGGCTACGTGGGCGCCCAGCAGTACGGCAGCGGCGCCTTCCCAGTTGTGCACTCGCCCTACAGCGGCAGCGTGCCGCCCGAGCCCGTGCTGGGCGGCCAGTCCACGTTCGCCGTCCCGCCCATGCAGAACTTCATGGCCGGGGCGGCGGGTGTGTACCAGGCCCAGGGCTTGGTGGGCAGTAGCAACGGTTCCAGTCACAAAAAGAGTGGGAATCTCTCCTGTTACAACTGTGGGGCCACCGGTCACCGCGCTCAGGACTGCAAGCAGCCGTCCATGGACTTCAATCGGCAAGGTAAAGGCAGGCGGCGGCCGGCTGGGCCCCGGGGGCGGCCTGGGCTGCGCTGGCTAGCCGTGCGGCGCTGCCCCCACGGAGAGGTGCAGACCACGGTTTACTTCTCATGAAAATCTGAGTAAACGTTCTTTTTAAAGCAAAGAATAAGTTTTTGAATGCTCTTGGAAAAAGTGTGAAATTCTTCATAGGCTGTAAAGCCCCCACAAGGGTTACTTGGTTCTAAGATCGTCTATTCCTTGTTCTAGAGCGTGACTGGCTGGCTGTGGAGAGGGGCTGGCCCGATGGCTCTGTGGTCTGTTAACTCTTGCCACGGGACAGGGGAGCAGTGTGGGTGATTTGATGCCACCCCAGCGTTTAACTGAAAGCATGGGCGTGGTGCGTGAGTTCAGAGGCCACAGGTGGCACTCACTGTCCTCGCTTGTGCTCTCCCCCTCCAGGGTGCCCAAGGCTGTTGGCCATGTGGGTGCGTGATGTCCTCACTCACTGTGCTCCCATCTTCCTCCTCCCCCCTTTCTTACTTGCACTCACTCTTTGTGTCCTTTGTCAAGTTCACTATGTGTCTGATGTGCTTATCACAACAGGTTTGCTCTTGCTGTTTGTTTGGGAAGAAGATTAGATGGGATTGGGAGCATTGGCCCCAGCTCGGTGACTAGTCACTGGGCAACCTTGGAGAGTCATGTGATCTCTGTAGACTTCTGAGGGTTGCTCTAGACCTGTCTGTGCATCTTAGCCACCCGGAGAGCTTTAAAGACAAACAACTCGGACTCAGTAGGTTTGGTGGCAGGTGAGGGTGACTGTGGCCTCTGGCCGTCCCTGTTGATAGAGACAGTGCTGCATCTCCGGAAGCAGTGAGCCCAGAGCCTGTGGTGACAGTCAGGCCTCCCTGCCCTTGTCCCAGGGAAGGGTGCATGTTGGACGGCCCACCAGCTGTGTGCCATCTGAGCCCCAGGAAAAGAGTAACTCTTCAGCCCTTTCACCCCTTGTCTGACTTGGTAAACTTGGAACATAGCGTCGAGTTCGGGGAGTGGGAGCGGGGAGTTGGGAATGGTTAGAACGGGTGGTCTAGATTTCCAGCCCCCGGGTCTTGAGCAGTGACTCTGGACAGCTCGGTTATTTGTGGTACTTGCACAGTGATTCCAATTTGATCTTTTTTTTCCCCTTTCTCTAGGTACTTTTAGGTTGAAATATGCCCCTCCAGCAGAAAGTCTGGACTCCACAGATTGATATTTTTCTCTGGCAACAGAACACTATTAAGCCATGGAGACATAAGGAAAATTAAATACAAAACCGAGAAGTCTAGTTGCTGTTGAGCTTAATATTTTTAATCCAAAGGTGCTTTACTTTACTAGGCTGGATAGAGAACCTAGTGTAGGAGTGCAACTGTTTTATTGCCAAAATCCTAGACCGGAGCTTGATGTCAGGACTCGCCTAGGGTCTCTCCGCGGTGGGGGACATTGGCCACCTCCACCCTTGGTCGCAGTGCAGAGCTCCCGTCCCCCGAAGAGCGTTGCCGGGGTCAGTCCTTCTAGGCTCACACGCAGTTCCAGGGCAGCTACGAGAGTGGACTCGAGAGCCGAAGGTGGGAGTTCTCCGGGTGGAGCGCCATCAGGCGGACTCTCGACACCCCTGGGTGAGGGAAAATGTCGCCCTTGTTTTGTGTTTTGTTTTGTTCCGTTCCTGAAGTGGGTAGGCACTAATCTCTGGGCTTTTTAAGGATTGCACTACCGAAGAATGTAAACCGATGTCAGTCCCTGCAACTCTGGGAGACAAACTCCTGAGGCCAGCCGGTGCAGGACACTCAGAGAGGCCGTTTTCAGAGCGTCGGCACCAGCAGGCTACGTGACTTAGTACACAACAGAGATTTCAGTATTTCTTTCCCTCCTTAAAACACTTGTAGCAGTTTCAGGTTTTTAATTTTTTTCTGCAAATAAATTTAAACTACATCATTAAATAGAAATAGTTACTCGCAACAACTTAATTTCTAAGGGTCCAAGTCCCAGAGAATCCCGAGTTGTCAGAGCTTTCAGAATCCCCTCCTTCCCAGCCCTTCAGTAGCTTTGCATCCTGTCATCTTCCGCCACGAAGGAACCTGGCAGAGTCACGTGGCAGCACGGCCTTTGTGCCTGGGCTCACGGGTGCTGCACGTCCTTAGCACAGTTCGCGAGTTCTTTTCTCTCACACGGACTTCCCAAGGACCCAAGGCTCCCTGCTGACGGATCCGCACTTGAGACAGACGTTTCAACAATAAGACGGTCCTAGAATTTGTGAGCAAAAGATTTGAAATTTTCTCCTGTCAACTTCTTTTGCATTAGGCTGTGTATTAATAGTTAGTTCCATTAAAAATTACCTGGAAAGCTACCATAGAAAGTGGTAAGACTCTGAAAGAGACCACGCCAACAGTACAGAGCTACAGATCTGCAGAAGGCTAGTTCCACCACCACGCGGCTCCCGGCGCCGCCCCCGCAGAGAGAGCGTTTGGGTCTGAAATTTAGGGCCTTAGACCTTCAAGGCTAAAGGGAATTTCCTGCTCAAATAATAATATTAATTTAAATGCTAAAGCCTTCAATATTAAATTATTGATTGGTAAGGCCTTGCCCAGGGATTTTTCCAGTTGATTGTTTATTTAAAAAAAGAAAATCACAACATTCAGACCATTCTTAAAATGGGACAATCAGCCTCACGCAAAATTGGTGTGAATCAAGACTGCCCTCGAGTTGGAGGCGGCGCCACGTGAGGCTTCACGCTGTGCCATCAGGTTCCTGGCTGCACAGAAACTAAAGCAGAAAGTTGTTACCTTTTTTTATGAAAGGCTTTTAGTAGAATTTCTTAGAGTTTTATTTTAGTCGAGTTTTCTTTCTATGCAATGCAGAATTGACAGACCTCTGTGCTCTCTCTCCCTGGTACACAGTATTACGTACAGTTTGAAGCAATGGTGATGCTTACAGCGGCTGTTTTGGGGAATGTTATATTGATCTCTTAAATTATAAACACTACAAAATGTCAAAACAATGAGAACTGACACAACTTTGCCTTAAAGAGTACTAGACTGGAACTCGTCATATATGTTAAGGGAAGACTTGGAGTGTGCATTGATGTTTACCATTTTAATATTTCTGAGGGCCGTCACAGTGGCCTGGGTATGTGCTGAAAGCCAAACTTTTAAATTTTTTGGTTTTTTAAACAAAGAAATATTTTAAATAAATCCTGTTTCAACAGTGAAATTGTTGAAAACTGTCTCATAACAAAAAAAAATCCTGTTTAGGTTTTTTTGTTTTAGTGGTCAGTATTGCGGAATGAAAGTGTCTGTTGTTACCCTTATAACTATTTTGATAAATACTAGAGGTTAGCACTAAATACAACAAAAAATTAGAACAAAAACCTTGATTTGATGTATGACGTTCAAGTTGAGGTACGTAAGTTCAGACATTGTGGCTGTGTTCCAGTCAACAAAGGTCTTAGAAAAATTCCCAGTTGTCTGAAAGTGTGCGTGCAGTGCAACGCCTCCAGCGAGGCCATTCCAGGCTGAGAATTGTAAAAGGTCAATGGGAAACACGGCACACAAAGCATCCGGCTGCTGATCTGTGACATCTTGTCCCAAGTGAATCCTGTCCTTGGACTTGGTGATATTTGCTAGCAGTGTTGTCTCTGGTGAATTTCTCTCCAAAAGTAACCGAAGTCAGTAAGCCTAAAGAGCATTTGCATTTCCTCAGAGGACGTCCTCAGCAGCTGGAAACACATCAGACGACCCTTTCAAAAGCTAGTCATTTTCCTGAAATCGTGGACTCAGTTTCCAAATGATGTGGCAACCAGGTGGGTGTGGCATCAGCCACTTGCTTTGTGCAGTCTGTCATATATTAAAGCTTCTAACCCCATTTTTAATCTCCAAGAATGGGGACAGTAGAGTGTACAGATCGAAGCAGAATACAATGTTGGGATAAAACAGCTATTTAATCTTCTTTTATTTTTTAAGCAAAACACTCAATTTTCTACCTTATTTTCTAATTTTTATTTCATGGCAATACTGAAAATTGGGAATTGTGAAACATTAAAACTCTCAATTGCTAAAAAGCACTGAGGAAATGGGAGCTAGCACTTAGAATAAAGACAAAATTATTTTCTTGAAAGCAGGTATGTGATTGAGTATTAAAAAAAAAAAACCAGCATCATCTATAATCTCCAAAAGGTTACAGGAGTCGCTTGTTAATATAGTAGTTAGTAGGTTCAGTATTTTAATTCACTATTTAGAATTTAGGTCCTTTATCGCAAGAAGTCGACGTAGTTAGTTTACACTACACACGGTTTGTGGAGGCGCGGGAGCAGTGGTAGTAACTTAGCCTGACGTCACACAGCTGGTTTCCCGTCTGGGCACAGGCCGACCGAGGCTCACGCACTCCAGTGTTGCTAGTAAGCACTTGCTGAGCGGGCATTGGGTTGCACCCTCTGCACTCCCGGTCACGTTGTCACTCTTCCTGCTTCCATGGTGGGTTATCGGATGCCTTGCTAGTTTCATACACTGATTAACTGATGGTGTTACATGTTGAAGAGTCTTAAAGGTCGTAAGGGAAACCGTGTCCCTGGCTCGGCTGGGCCGCCGAGCCCAGAGGAGGGGCCTGTGGCACCTGAGCGGGTGGGCCGTCCTTTCCAAAGTGCAGGTGACTCGCCAAGAATGAGTCAGGGGACATGTAAAGCCATGGGGTTCTGAAGAGGCTCAGTGATTGAAAAGTCCCGAGGTTCAGAAAGTATCTTTAATCAACACTTACAAAACTCCTACTGTGCTGGTTGAGGCCAAAGGTCAACGTTACTACACTGTTAATGGAGGGAGGGGAGCACGGGTCGTGGGTCCCGGATGTCGTACCAGCCCCTCACATGCTCAGTTCTTACATGCACAAAGACAAGGCTTTGGTACAGAAACTGAAGACCTCGTGTACTCAAGAATCTTCACAGCTTCTATTGGACATATTTTCTTTTTAGGAATGAAGGAAAATTCTCCCATTTTTGAGCCATTCTTTTATGTCAATTCTACAAAATTGCATGTAACTTTATAAATATTTTTAAAAGATATAGTTTTGTAAATATTTAATATTCTGCTAATTTGATTTTGAATTGTAAATGTCAAGTATTCTGTTTTTGGGGTTTTTATGTTTTATTATACTTTGTTAAAAAGAAAAATTGTACATTTTTAGAATGTTTTTATGAGTAAATTTAATGTACTTAAAATAAAAATTTAAAAAAAAAGCTGTTTCATTTTATTAGGTGTTGGTCTCATAGAATATGAAGCACACATCTTTTCAAATAAATTGCACTTCTTGCTCTCCAAACTAGGGCGTCTGTCCTTTCTGCCCTCTTCCCAGCTTTACAAATGGGACAGACCTGGTCTTAGATGAACGTTTCCCAGCGTGGTGAATGTGCCCTGGCATCTGAAGCGATGACCTCGCTCTGGATTTGGGATGGTGGCAGTCTAACGAGCATGTGCCCACCAGGACTGTGGTGTTCTCGTGAGCAGGGCCAGGCACCAGAGGGAGGATTCTGGCACCTTTTCCCCAACAGAGATCCCCAAAGCCTCTTGGTCTTCTCAGGCCTGTGGTTACAGAGGAAAAACGCGTGCGCATACGCACACGCAGACTTCCAGGCACGGTTAGGGCTCCTGCCAGGTAAATGACAGCAGGCGACACAGCTGGCCCCTCTGGCAGGGAAAGCCTTGCTGTTGGGTCACCTCCAGGGCCTCAGGGTTGTCTTGGAACCACACAGGCCAGGCCTCTGAAGATGGGGACACGTGCGCATGTGCTGAGCAGCGAACTCGGGGAAGCAGAGCCTTTCCCTCAGCTCGTGCCGTTTTCTTCACTAACGTTTCCGTGCCTACTTCAATCTGAGTTGGCTCCAGCATGTTCCGATGAGTAACGCTGGGCACTACGTCTTTACCCGATGCGGCTGCCAGGTCGGTACTGAGGGACCGTAAACCACATGCCTTCTTGACCACACACACACTCTCAATACTTGTTTGACTTTGCTGTTCACTTACAGTGGTAGCTTTTCAAGTGTTTATTCCCACAAAACAACTAGGTCCCGCATCCATCCTCATACTTTGTATTATCTGTAAGTTCTCAGAGGGTTTTAGTTTCGTACAGACAAGACCAGGTGGCAGGACCCTGACCAGGTGAGGAAGGTGCCCGTGACAAGGCAGAGACCTGAGTCGGGTGTCCCTCCACCAGCTCCTCCCCAAGCACAGTGCAACCAGCCTCCGCGCTGTCAGGAAGGACAGGCCCCACTAAGCTCTGCACAGTACAGACAGCAGACAGTCTCCACACAGACCCAGAAAAGCGAGCTTTGATGACAGTTTTTAGTTGTGCCTTTATTCACCTTAGTTTGTTAAAAATGTACTTGTTTTAAAGATCCTATAAATAGAGTGATCACCCACTAATGTGGGATGTAAGTCCCCCTCTCAGCATGGTATTTTTGTTTTTTAAAAAGCAGAATTTCTTACAGGAATCTTATTGATCACACAGTAGTTACAAGAATGTCCGATATAATGGCATATACAGTCTAAACAAGACAGGCTGATTAAGGATTTACATAATGTAAAAATATACATATTCAAAGTTAGCCATGTGGGCAGCGGCATGCAGCTGGAAGAGCAGCGGACGGGAGGTTGGGGGCTGAGGGCCCAGACGCAGTAATATTGCTTTTCCCTCCGTTCCCGAAGATAACTTCCACTAACAGATACATGTTCCACACATCTAAATACACAAGGGTAAATCGTGACCTGCGACACGTAGTCTAAGTGGTCTGTGAGACTCCCACAGACACACGAAATATGAACCCCATGCAGGCAGGAGGAAGCACTGGTCATGTATTCTACTTGGACTTGGAAAATGTTTAACTCTTGCCGCTGACATCTGGAAGAGCGCGCGTCTCCTCTTGCTGTGTTTTCTTCACCATTGACATGCACTTGGTGGGGAATTCTGATGGTGGGTCAACCTAACAGTGATAACTGAAATACTCTTAAAAATGCTGTAACTTTAATAACATATTTTCATCACACACTTAACATAAAACATGGATCATCTACAGCTTTAAGCCACAGGGTGGAGAAAGCGCATCTGAATGGTAATGCTTTTCCTTTCAGTATCCCACCGCTCCCAGCACTGTCCTCAAGAAGGAAACTGATCCAGCCGCTTGCTCATTTACCCAAGCAGGCTCTGCTATGAGCTCTTAAAGAACATCCAAAACAGAAGAAAGGTCGCTCTTTTTCTCTGGGCTTTTTGAGAAACTAAATCAAAATGATAAATTATTCAAGGCTCCTAGTGAGCAGCGGTGCTTTTCTGTGTGTAACTATCTAGGGAACAAATCAAAAAACTCCCACTGCAAGCGCGTCGACGTGGGGGAGACTTATCAGGAATCAGGAACCTCAGACAGCAGTGCAGAGTTTTCTCAGACACCCCCATTTGCCCTGCTTTTTGCCAATTACGGCAAATGCGTTTTGGGGAGCTATGCTCGACAACTTATGCTTGTAGATCCTCTTGGGAAGATTTCTCTAGTTGAGTAGAAACCCTTGCATAAAAAGTCGGCAGGTTCTGTGAACCTGGAGAGGAGACTCATGTCTCTGAATGCTCAAATTGCAAATTCCCTATTGGAGAAAGAGCATTAAAAATAACTTGAAGGTCTATTTTATTGGCAACTCAGAATGCAAAGTATTTTATTTTTAAACTTCTAAATTTGAAAACAAGACAGCCTAGGTTAAATAATAGTTTTCCAAAGCTGAATGTGCTCATTTGCAGCTCAGTTTTTCTGCTTTAAGTACAAAAAAACAACTTCCTAAAACTCCTAGGCAGGAACACTACTGTTTTGATGATCTGTGATTAGATGAACGGATCGATCTCAGTTGGTAACATCCCTTTGTTTTTCCTTGGTAAGGGTTTAAAAAATTCTAGAACAGACGCATTTTTCTAGTCTTACACTGACAATTTCATCCCAAATGTCTCCTGAGAGGCATATACCATATACAGGAATCCATCTTCATCCTTCTCACTTTCATACACTTCAGAAATCGGTGTGGACACGCTCACCATGCTGTGTCCATTCACTAACAGGAAGAAGGCTTGATTAGCGTTGAGCTGTAAGCGCCTTCTATTGAAAGAAAACAATGTGAAGAAATATTGATACATCAATAACTGGGGAGCGTGTGTAAAGATACCCCCACCCAATCAATATAAAAGCATAAAGATTATCTCTACTATTTCTTCTCATAAAGCACAGGGCATCTTCTATGGATACTCACGCTCAGTGTTAGTGATAATCCCTGACACATGGTTCTTACTACATTCCCAGGTCACTGTTAAACTCTACTGTCTGAACAGCCATTAGTATCTAACGTGAGAAAAACTGTTCAAAATACAATTTACAAACTAAGATCTAAGCTCGTGCAATTTATTACCATTGCACCAAGTCGACATTCTCTGTTACTAATTTTGCTACACAAAACTTGTAACTTTTCTGATTAAGAGACAACAGCTACACTAGATGTTATGATGAAAGAATCAGAAGGGACATGAGATCCAAAAGGTAAGAAATATAAAAACTCAGAAATGAAACACAATTTTATTAAGCTTGTATAGATTTTAATCAGAACTAAAGATTTACCTGTAAGTCTGATAAAGAATAGAAGTTACCCAAAGAAATAAAAAACAAGAAAGGTGATTAAATACCTAATTATCTTGATGAGCTCACTCATGTTGACATGGTCAGGCACAAGGAACTTGGTTTTATCCAGGACAGGAAGCTGCTTCTCCCCCTTGTATCGTTCTATTATCACCTAGAAAAGCAGCCGGAGAAGGGATTTAAAAATAGCCATTAACAATGAAAGCAGATGAAATACTTCCTGTGTTGTAACTCGCACATGCCAAAACGGGGTTTAAAATAGCACATTTGTGGCAGCGTCCCACATGGCACAACTAGAAGGACCCACAATGAAGCATATACAACTGTGTACTGGGGGGCTTTGGGGAGAAAAAGGAAAAAATAAAATATTTAAAAATAAATAAATAAAAATAAAATAAAATAGCACATTTGTTAGTTTCCTCACAGATCTCCTGTCAAGAGCGATCACTTATTAGCTTAGACTCTATCCCTGACAGAACATGCTACGGAAGAAGTGGCTGTCTCCAGGGAAGTGAGCAGGGTGGCTGCAGGATGGGGACAGAAACTTTGCTATATATTCTTTTGTTATTTGGAACCATGACAATATACTACCCAGCCAGAAAAGACCCCAAGCCTTATGAGAACAGAGAGGCTGGTACCAGCTTAACATGTAAAGATTTTAATCTATCTATGTCAATTCAATACCACTACTTCCTGTGACATGGCAGGAGTCCCTTTTTTTGTTTTTGGTGAGTAAGATTGGCCCTGAGCTAATATCTGAGCGATTCCTCCTCTATTTTGTATGTGGGATGCCACCACGTGTACGTCTGCACTGAGCATCCAAATTCGCAAACCCTGGGCCACTGCAGCAGAGCATGCAAACTTAACCACTAGGACATGGGGCTGGCCCCTGAGCCTCATTATCATCTGTTTACTGAGAACTGCAGACATCCCTCTCTAAGTACAGCAACACTCTACCCTGTCACAACAGTGAGAAGCTGAGAGACAGGAATGGAACATCTTTAGGTAATGTTTCTTTAGAAGAGGGAAAATGCTGTCTGTCCATTGTTCCACTATATGGGACCTACCTGAGGTTCTGTGTAAGGCCCTGTAAAGCTGTTATTACCTTCCTTGGTAAGATCGAGGGCTTTATCTACAGGGTGTGTTCAGAACATGATATCCACAAGGAGTGTCAGTGGGTACACGTGCCTTGGTTTAAGTGGTAGCAGAAATCAGAGGCCATACAGAAATCTTGGATTGCTGGCTCCAGAGGAGGCAGAAGTCGTCAGAGAATGAGAAGAAAAATTCAAGACTTTAGAATGCTTCCAATAAAGGAACACACAGGAGCCTGGGAAATGCTGGATAAGACGACCATGGGCCACTTCCGCTCTCATTGCCGAGTCCGGTCTGCCTGGACGGGCGCTGTTCTAGCTGCTCCTGACTCACTATGTGGTGGTGATTGCCATAAAAACACACTCCCCTATAAATGACTGGTTTATTTCTCAGTTTTCTTTTTCTTTTTATTTACTTTTTATTTTCCCTTTACTCTTCTCATGTAGGAGAGAAGATATATAAGTAACAGGATAAGGAATTTAGCTAGATCAGAAAAGTGCCTTCTCAAATGTTTCACTGAGGTAATAGTTCTGGACAGGAACTTAGAGGAAAAGGCCGCCCTTGG